TCCCTGCAATCAGTTTTTATTCTGACATCGGGGCCACTTGCCGCCGTCAGTCAGAGGGAAAAAAAACCCAGCATAGGAATGCATATCTAGATTGCTATTGGCTATTTCACTTTGCAATAGCCAATAGCAGACTAGCTATTGCACCCACCCACTGCTGCTGTCAATCAGCAGAGGTGGACCTGAAGTTCTCCATCAGGTCCTCTTCCAGTGATAGCCTCAGAGGATCGTCTTCCAGGGCGATTTACTCTGTGTAGCAGATGTCACTTCAGGACTGCACCTGTGACAGGTGAGCACAGTCTCTCCACACGATGGCTGCACAACACCAGAAACAGCGGTCTGGGTTCTCTCTGTCTTCACAACAGACTGAGGCCAGCAACCTTTGGCCCCCAGAGTTCACTCCCCCCCTCTCCTGTAGCACTCTGGGAAATGTAGTTCAGGTACATCGAGTCAGATAGAATTCCTCCTCAGCTGTGTGTCCACAATGCCCACAAATTGTGCTCTCTGGCTCCACCTGCAGCTGCAATATCTTTTTTCTTAAAGGAGCTGATACCACAACAGGGCTACACTGTTTTGTTTTTTTCATTCTGACGGCAGCAGCTGTCAGAATACAAAAAAAAACAACCCAGCAGATAGCAATTGCTTGCCTTACTATCTGCCATCATTTCAGGGGGTGCACCTCCCTGAAATGAGAAGGGCACCTCCCTGAAATGGCTTTTTTCAGGTTGGGATCACTGCAAACCTAGCAATGTAGCTATAAGATAATGACTGTTAATGAGGATACTTGAATACATTTTCTGCTATATGTTGGTGATCAGACACAGGAGATGCAATGTTCTGACAGCCTGTGCACTGAGCATAATTAGAAAAGCATGCATCGTTTCCCTTATGCGTTTTAAAGCCATGTCTAAAACTGATCATTTACATGGGAGCTAAGCCAGGAAGATTTCTCTTCTGGAATCCTCAGTATAAGCAATATACTGCAATATAAAGCAAGCATTTAAAGTAACAGCATCTTCCAGTTTGCATATGTTGTATCTATCTCTCCTTTACTCTGTCTGTGAATCTGATGTATGAGCGCTAGAGCACAGAGAAGGGCTAGTGCTCCCCAGAGCAAACATATTTCATTCTTTAAATGTAATCTAAAACCAATTAATTTAAATCAGCCCCAAAAATCTGTACAGAATGGTCCATTAAAGGGGAATCTCAGCTTTATGTTGTGCTTGTGTTTTTGTTTTGTTTTTTAATCAAGAAAAATAGATGCAGGTTATGTAGAATAATCCTATACTATGGCAGCGCATTAAACAGTCTATGTCAAATCTGTGTATTTTTCCGTTTTAAAAAGCACATTGAGGACAATTTATCAAAACTGGAGCAGACAAAAACTGGAGCAGCTGTGCATGGCAACCAATCGACTTCTCTTTTTCATTTTCAAATCTAAACTGAACAAACTGAAGAGAGAAGCTGATTGGTTGTCATGCCCAGCTGCTCCAGTTTTTGTCTGCTCCAGTTTTGATCAATTCCACTCTATGTGTTCAAAATAAGCATGAAGTTCTGGTTTAGCTGAAAGCTTACAAACAATCGGACTTATTCCTATATTTATTGTCTGGTGGTTTTCAGATACTGAGCTTGAGTTGGCATCTGTCACTCTTGATGTTGTCTTGATGTCAGCTAGTATTCCTTCAGGCAAATACCAGATAACATTGTAAATGCAGTGCACTATCTTGGCAGCTCTGAAACAGCCATGATTTTTATATCAACAGCAGGAAAACTCACAGCTGAGATGGGCTTAACAGAAATGCAAGCGGTCAGCATTTTTATATGAGTTATTGGAAAAAGGGAAGCGCATTTCACAGCTTGACTGGCTGAATTACTATCACATCTTACAGGGCTGTGAGCAGCCATTTGACATCTTCAGAGGTTAGCATCTTGCTGAATATGCTGGGCCTCACATACTATGTAAATTGGGAATTTGTTGCAACATAGAAAGCTTTTAAAATCCTCAGTCAAGAGATATGTTCAAAAAAAAAAAAGGCATGTGCCGAGGAACATGTAACACCTGTGCAGGGGTGGAATGATGAGCTCCAAGGTCTTGCAGCAGAAACATTCAGCCAAAGGGCAAAAGAGGAGGGGGAGAGATTAGGTCCAGACAGGTATAACAGGAGCATGTAGACATGCTGTAAATGCTTCTGATCACCATTGACATAATCAGACAGAACAGTTGTGCGGTTTGTGTTGTCTGCTGATATCTATGCTTTTTAGAAGCATGTGTAGTGTATGCATGTTCCTTAGGCCTTGTTCACACCAAGTGCATTCCAGGAGCAGAGCAGATCTGTTACAGGCCGGATCAAAACTGCATCCAATGTATTCCAATGGTAATTTGGACTCTAGTTCACACCGCAGCGTTCAGTTCCAGAGCATGTAAAAAAACTAAAGCAAGCCCTATTTTACCTGCTCTGGAACGCATGCAAACGCTTTACCAAAAACGGCTCTGATCGCATCACAAACACGGTAAAAAACGTGGCACAACCCACTGCACTGCGTGTGCAGAAACTCATGCAGATCTGGTCTGCATTTGGTGTGAACAAGCCCTAATATGTTGATAACTGCTCCTTTTACATTCCTTTTTGATTTAGGTAATCAGACCAGTATGGACCCTAAAGATAAGGTAGGTCTGAAGCTCAGTTCACTTGGGGGTCACTGGACCAATTTTCTTCTCCCATGGGTAGCTGTGACGGCCGCACGGCGCCCTTGTTGCCATGGCGCCCTGTGCGGCCACACGGCTCGCACACCCCTAAGGCCGGCCCTGCCATGGGGGCCGCTTGCCAAATTTCATACTTCCAAATAAAATGTAACTATCTTCTGTACCAGTGTTAATGTCTGCGTGTGTGTATAATATCAGTATATGTGTTTGTCATGGTTTCTTTGTATGCAATATTAGTATCTTTTTTTGTGATGGTTTGTGTGTATTGTCAGGATTTCTGTGAGTAATGTCGGTCTGTGTGTTAATGTTTTTGTGTGTGTCAGATCAGTATGTATACATGCGTATATGTGTGCAGTGTCAGTATATTTGTATTTTTTTTTTTCCACCGGGTTTTAATTTTAATCATAGAGGACCAATAGATTCACACATTTGTTCACACACAGAAAAATATGCACACACACAGAAATATGCAAACCCCCACACAAACAGAAATACACACACATTATACACTCACACCCAGAAATACAGACACAATAAGGCCCCATTCACACCTATAAGTTTAGGTGTGATTAGGGATTCCTGCATCAGGAATGTTCAATGATGAATTTCTGACAAGCGGCAGCTGTCTCTCAAGTTAATGATTGGGTGTCAGCCACTGCATGAAAACGCCAGCATGCAAAATGCGATTGATGCGTCCACACAAAGGTGATTGTTTTCTAACTGCATGTAATCATATTCAGTTAGTGGTTAGCGCTTCTGCCTTGCAGCACTGGTGGTCCCTGGTTTGAATCCCGGCCAGTTCACTATCTGCAAGGAGTTTTCCTGTTCTCCCTGTACTTGCTTGGGTTTCCTCCAGGTACTCTGGTTTCCTCCCACACTCCGAAGACATGCGTAAAATTGGCTCCTGTCTAAATCAGCCCTGTATGTATGCATGTGATACAGGGACCTAAGGTTGTAAGCTCCTTGAGGGCAGGGACTGAAGTGAATGTACACTATGTAAAAGCGCTGTGTAAATTGTCGGCGCTATATAAATACCTATAATAAATAAATGATATCACACACGATTATATGTGGTGTGCCCTGTTTGCATGCAGTGGCTCACACCCGATAATTAACTTGAATGGGTGACAGCTGCCGCTTGTAAATAACGGATTAGAGATTCCTGCTGCAGGAAAACTCAAGTTCCTGACACTGGAATCCCTAATTGCACCTAAAGTTACTTGTGTGAATGGGGGCTAATACACACACACCCACACCCACCCACCCCCACCCACCAAACACACACACACACACATAACATAAAAGAGCCCCCTCACTTGTCATGTCAGTAGTTACACTGGATTTTTAATTCATCATTGTTGTACTATCCCTAATTTTTCATCTCTGTGATTATTTCTCCATCAATTCTCACAACATAACATAACATAATCCTGGTTTGATGTCTTCAAAAATAAAATCTTGCTTAGTTGTTTGTGTACAGGGCTATTTTGCAAAATAGATTTAGAATTTTGCTTTTAAAGTAGTCTATAGAGAATCTTCAATGCTGGAAATTTAGGGAGAGTTACCAATACTATATGTATAATATGACTAGAAATGCTAACCAAATTCTCAAATTGATGTAATATGCTATTGTCACTAACAACTCCGGGTCTAAAATCCTGGTTACATTTTGAAGTACAGCTTACCTGGTGATTTGCAATATGACAACAATTTAGTACATCCCTGTGTGTGTTAAACAATGTGGTGAATAGCTCTCAAATAACTGACTTATGAAGCCTCTGGGACAGCTCTTTATTTAAGCTAGATTCAAAAGATGGTGGAGAGAAATTACATGGGATTCCATTTGGAAAAATAACACTGCCTTCCACTTCACAATCCCCAAAAATGTCCTTGTAGACGTGGGCACCCTTTTGGCTTGGTGCAGCCTGGCAAGTTACCATCTCTGCAAGAAGCTTACTTCTGGCCTACATGACATGCGCATACATTTTCTAGATGCAGCTGCCCAACATGGTTCTGTTCCACACTACATCCCTCCATGTGCCCATGTGTTATCCGTAAGTTTCTTCTTTTTTGATAATACAAACCTTTAGAGACTTCTCAACTCCTTGAGCATCTATTTATTTTTCTGAGGTCAAAGTTCTCAAAAGAAGAATTTGCAAAAATCTGGTGTGTGTATCTGTTTTATCTTGCTAATATTAATATTACTTCTTATTTATTCCAAACCTCTAGCGCTGTGACAACACTTTACATTAATATTACAATGTTTATTGAAATTGACCTTAATGGTTTTTATCTGCAGGTCGGATCGTATTGGAGAAGGCCAGCCTCCAGCTGTTTTCAAGAAGCTGTAATGTTCTGAATAGGCACAATGGGCAGGCGATATCCAGGTGCAGCATATCGACCAAGCAGTTCATGTACGTCTTACTGCTATTTACACATATTAGTAATACAGTTTTACCCTTTTTTCTGCTAACAAAGAGAGTTTTTTGTGGAAAATGCTTCATATCCCGCTCCATGTATTTAATTTACATTAAGGTTGTTTATATTGTAGATAGTTGTCTGTGTCACAGATAAAACTTCACTCACTTTTGGCAAAAGAATTGACCTTGCACAAATACCATCATTTCAAAACGAAAAGAAATCCATTCAGGTCCTTAATACTTAATGCTGCAAGACATATTGCTATGCTAAGAGTTGATATACAAGACATTACAAGATTCCTATTACTGTACACCTTTATTATCTAGAGTAGCTTCTGCATTTACACTGACTGACAATGAGAATGACCTTACTGACCATGACCATGATGATGCTGAGTGTACATGCATTCAGCTATTTTAGCCTTTATTTGCAAATATGCTTGGGAATAGGGCCTCTGTGTTTTTCAAAAGTTTAAATAAAACATAAACATATTTTTGACAGTCTTTTTTTTTTTTTTTTTCACTTAGACATTATTTTTTATGAAATTGTGTAGATTTACAGTCTTACATCTGATCTCTAGCCTTCTGCATGCTACTTTCCAGTCACAATCCTTGTCATTTCCTCTTGTTATAAATTCGCTCCCTTGAGAGTGTTCTGCAGTGACTGCCACTCTGTTTATTGGATTGAGTGTATTCTATTTCCTGGTGCCTATTGTAGTTATTTATGTTATTCTGCTACCCAGGGGATATCTACTAACTACAACTGCACTTGCTAGGCTGGTGTTCTGCATGATGCCTTTACTTTTTACAATTTTAAAGGGTCAGCACACCCTACAATTTTTAGTGGTGCACACTTTTATGGCTTTAATATACTGATGAGGAGGACTGCCTATACAGTGGAACTATTCAGACAGAGACTTTGGGACACCATAAATAAAATAAGATGGGGAAATTGAAATTATGCAAGAATTACCACCTTTTGCTAAGTCCAAAGCTAGATGGGTGGTGGAAATAAAATATAGGTAAAGAATGGCATACCCTATCAATGGCTGTGGTTTTTTTTTTCTCTAGTGTGACAAAATCTTGCAGTATGAGATTAAAACAAACTTTCAAGAGAATTGAAAATCTGTATTAAAGTTTTTTTTCTGGAAGTTGGAAAATATTATTTAAGGGGTTATTCAATATTGAGCGGAAGGATATAACCGTAGCTTTGGCTAATCCTTCGGCTCACTTCGGCCTCCGGAGCTCTTCGGTTCAGCTGAACCGAAGGGTTGCTGTACGGGCTATTCACAATAGCCTGTACAGCAGCCAAACAGCTCAGTTGAGCCGAACGCATATGCTTCAGCTTGGCTGAGCAGAACACACAGCCGAAGCTGGAAGAATGGTCTGCTGAAGCAGACCCCCCTGGTCCAGTTTCCCCCTGGAAAAGCACCATGTCCCCATGCCGATGGGGGCAAGGGCCTCTTTCGCCACAACCCTGACCCGGTGGTTGTGGGGGTCTATCACTATCGGCCGTACCCCCCTGACGGCGGCCCTGGCTATCGGTTGGTTTCTCATGAGACCGAACATAAAGTACATAACTGCTAGACTGAGAAAGGAGCATGTTTACAGTGCATATACACATCTCTGTGAGATGCATTCATATGCTTCTACTGCACAGATATAGGTCTAAAAGCCTCTAAGAAAATTGTGCCAACAACTGAAATGCATTGGCATTTTCTTGTGTGTACTTACATATAGTAATTTAATTTTTTTATTTTGGTTTTGTTATTTAATGAAACAGCATATACAGATCACACTGGTATGCAACAGTAAACATACTAAAGTCATATTGGTTGTGGTTAAAACCATTTAATTTCCTGCAAATCATATTGTGCCTCATACTTCATGAGATGTATCTGGTGAGTTTGGAGAAGTGTTTGTTCTACAAAGACATTCTGGATTTAAATACAGATAACTTCCAAATGTAAATAGATGTGAGTGTGGCTATGGTGTTGTTTCAGATAGATTGGAATAAATGGTAACATGATAACATAATGTAAGCTCTGTGTAAAGACTACAGCAAGCTGGTATAAAATTGTAACCTTTCCAGTGAACAAGTAGAACTTTAAGACTTAATAAAGAAAATAACATGAAATTAAGTTATAATGCTTCAATGATGTGGGCTAAGCTGAAAGGCATGTCTAAAAATAATTAACAATGATGGGCCTGTTCTATGTTATGTCCCATCAATAACTCAGCTCTAAGAAATGAATGACTTAATTAACTGTGGTACTTTAACATTTAGTAGGAAATTGAAAAAGCAAAAACAGCTTACAAAACCAAGCTACAAAATGTGACCCACATACTTTCTTAAATCTGGTGAATAAATACTTTTTAGGAATATGTCCCTTTTTATATAAAGGTATGTTAGAAAACCAAGACTTTGGTATTGGATGTGTATGCAATCTTGTTAATTGTATGCTGGGAGGACTCATTGTCTTCTTTTGCTTCCCCAAAACAAATATGTTTCCAGAACATTTACTTCAACAGTTACCATCTACAGGGCGATAGCTCTAATTGGGGTTGGCTGTTTAGCATAAGCCAACTTTACCCAAAGCTTTACACATGCCTTTTTTCATGTCATAGTTTCATTGATTAAATGTGCCCTCCCAACTTTAGGCCATGTCCAAGTAATGGCTCCACCAATAGCTTCCCCATAATGCAGAATAAAGAATTTGGGAATGCGGCTACGATTGACATCTTTGGTATGACCTGGTGGAAGGGAGCTCAGAAATAAAAGCCTTTAGTGCTAATTAATGAATATTAGTTAAAAGGCTGCTAAATGCTTTTGGTGGCCCAGTGATGGATATGCAGTGTGTAGCCTAGGTCTACCTTACCAAATTAGCAGTAGAGCTGTCATATCCTGGAAAACATCACATTTGCAGAATCAATGAGGAGGGCCTTCTGTACTGGACACATTGACGATTGGAGAGATTCTGTTAAATTCTTGAGAAGTGTTTATTATAAAGTACTGAGATTTTCTAATCTCAATAATTGTTCATTGTGCCAGATGTATGTTTTTCTGTAGTGCACAAGACCAGGTAATCTCGTGTCCTGGAAGCTCAAACTTTGGAGCCATGTTTGTCCCAGGTGTTCTCAATCCCTCCCACTGAAAGCTGCTTACTGTCTCTAGTTGGGCAGTGGATGTACAAATGGACTGATTTCCTAAGGGCTGGTTAAAGCCATAACTGTGTATGTCTGTGCAGCTGCAGTGCAATGCGTTTTACTGCGGTTTAAACAGTATTTTTAGGTTTTTTGTTTGGTGTTAGCTTAGAATGGGCTTTCAGGTGCAGTCCAGTCAGTTCCAGTGCATTTGTATGCGTTTTGATGCGTTCCGTTGAGATCAGGTGCAGCTAAAATGAGACGAGCGGTATTTTTTCTGACTGCATCGGAACAAACTGCACTGGTGGGAACAGAGCACCAGAAATCCCATTGGAAAGCATTGTGACGCCATTTTGATGCAACTGCCAAACTGAACGGATTGCATCACAACTGCATCTGGTGTGAACTAGCCCTTAGTCACACAGACAGAAACATCAGCTACACTATATTGCCAAAAGTATTGGGACACCCCTCCAAATCATTGGATTCAGGTGTTCCGTGAAATTTCCTTGCTACTAAATATTCCACGATCAACTGTTGTGGTGGTAGTGGTATTATAACAAAGTGGAAGCAACTGGGAACAAAAGCAACTCAGCCACGAAGTGGTAGGTCACGTAAAATGACAGCGAGGTCAGCGCATGCTGAAGTGCACAGTGTGCAGAAGTCACCAACTGTCTGCAGAGTCAATAGCTACTGACCTCCAAACTTCATGTGGCCTTCAGATTGGCACAACAACAGTGCGTAGAGCTTCATGGAATGGGTTTCCATGGCCAAGCAGCTGCATCCAAGCCTTACATCACCAACTGCAATGCAAAGCGTCGGATGCAGTGGTGTAAAGCACGCTGCCACTGGACTCTAGAGAAGTGGAGACGTGTTCCCTGGAGTGACGAATCACGCTTCTCTGTCTGGCAATCCGATGGACGTGTCTGGGTTTGGCGGTTGCCAGGAGAACGGTACTTGCCTGACTGCATTGTGCCAAGTGTAAAGTTTGGTGGAGGGGGGATTATGGTGTGGGGTTGTTTTTCAGGGGTTGGGCTTGACATTTTGGACAATTTCATGCTCCCAAGTTTGTGGGAAAAGTTTAGGGATGGCCCCTTCCTGTTCCAACATGACTGCACACCAGTGCACAAAGCAAGGTCCATAAAGACAAGGATGAGTGAGTTTGGATGGAGGAACTTGACTGGCCTGCACAGAGTCCTGACCTCAACCCGATAGAACACCTTTGGGATGAATTAGAGCGGAGACTACCAGTCCGGCCTTCTTGTCCAACATCAGTACCTGACCTCACAAATGCGCTTCTGGAAGAATGGTCAAACATTCCCATAGACACACTCCTAAACTTTGAGGACAGCCTTCCCAGAAGAGATGAAGCTGTTATAGCTGCAAAGGGCGGGCCAACTCAATATTGAATCCTACGATAGTAAGACTGGGATGCCATTAAAGTTAATGTGCGTGTAAAGGCAGGCGTCTCAATACTTTTGGCAATGTAGTGTATAATATGCTGCAGAGCAGCATTGGGTGAATGGGCCCTCGGTGTTTTGGAGAGCTCTCCTTTTAGGTAAAATGTCCAGATGTCCTGATTTTGGCATGCTTTCAATGTTACCTGAATAGCTTTAGCAGTTCACTGATGATTTTCACTTTTTGCCTGAAGTTGCTGTTTAAGAATACATTTTTTAGAAGCAGTGTTAGCTTTGTATGTACTTCCTATGTGTGCAGGGTGTAGTCTAGACTTTGTTTCCTGAAAAATAGAACTAATTTCATAGTTAAAGCAAACCTGATGTCAACTAAAGCTGGTGCAAATTCCATGCTGATGTGAAGGCACCTGGAGAAGTCTGCAATTACAGATCAGT